CCTACATCTTGGATGCCCTGGGGGTAAGCAGATAAACATCAAATTTTCATTTTTGGGTGAACTATCCCTTTAATACTATAGAAAAGCACTAAAGGTTTTTCAGTTAGAGTGTTTTCAGCTTGTTTATTGTCATATAAAAATACGGCATGCAGTTGCATCAAACAATGGTATAAACATCATTCAATGTAAATTGTGATAATCGTAATTAATCGCAATTACAATTTCAAGGGAATAATCAACAGTCATAATCGTGCAGCCCTACATACTATAGTAAAGTACTTGGAATTAATTTGTTGTGGTAATTCTATAGTTGCTGTGGTAATATAACAACTATAGTAATATAAACAAATTACTTTACCCAATACTGTACTAAGTTTTCTACAACTATAGGGTATATTATACTACAATACACTACAGTTTACTCTAGTAAAAACTAAAGTATACTACAGTATTTATTACAGTTCACTATAGTTAATACTACAGTATGCTGTAGCATTCATTATCAGAGTGTTGTAAATACTATACTATATACAGTATACACTTTACTATAGTAAGGTTCAGAAACACTATAGTATTTACTATAAATTACTATAGTATTTTTTCATACTTTGCATATTGTAAAAAACAAGTAATATCAACAAGTATATCAATACCATTTCTCATCTGATGATAAACAGCTTTCACAAAGAGTGATTGATCGTATGAAGGAGTCTCCACCTGTGGTTCACCCGCAAGCTTCACCCAAATCCTCTACCCAGTCAACAGCTCCTGTAGCTCCTCCGGTTGAGCGATGGGTTCCAGGTGAACATCGTGTACCCATAATCCCTCATCCACCCTCATATGCCAATACTTTGGTTCCTCCTCCTGTTTCAGAGCCAATAACACCTTTAGTAACTGGGACTGAGGAAACATCTGCACCACCTTCGAATGTAGAGTCACCTGAGAGTCTTCCAAATCCTCCGCCTACAGGTGATGAGCATGTAGCTATACTTGTACCTGACCCTCAACCAGCTGTACCCATAAATGCTCCTTCACCAGTGTCAAGTGAACCAATAACTGCTTCTCCACGAGTGGAACCCGGTGTTGAACCCCTAACACCACCTCCTGCCATAACCTCGACGACTGAACCTGTAGCCATTCCTCCTTCACCAACCACAGACCCACTTACTGAACCTGTAACATCTATAGAGTCCTCGGTTGAACCTGTAACACCTATAGAGTCCTCGGTTGAACCTGTAACACCTATGGAGTCCACGGTTGAACCTGTAACACCTATAGAGTCCACGGTTGAAACTGTAACACCTATAGAGTCCTCGGTTGAACCTGTAACACCTATAGAGTCCACGGTTGAACCTGTAACACCTATGGAGTCCGCGGTTGAACCTGTAACACCTATAGAGTCCTCTGTTGAACCTGTAACACCTATAGAGTCCTCTGTTGAACCTGTAACACCTATAGAGTCCTCGGTTGAACCTGTAACACCTATAGAGTCCTCTGTTGAACCTGTAATTGTATCTGCTGAAGTTTGTGTTCCATCTGCTGAACCGATTGAACCTATAGAAACTCCATAATCTCTTACTTTAGCTGCTCAGCCAACATCTGGTGAGTCCATGGACTTACCTGTTGAACCTGAGGTTTCAACCTCCCCAATCTCCAGACCTGCTCCCATTCAGTCTGACTTGGAGGAGTCTGCTGTTTCGCAATCTGGGTCTGCTTCATCTGTGGTTTTGCCTGATGAAATGCCTTGCAAGATGCAAATGGGTCCAATTTCCACTGGAGATCCTGCAGTTCCTTGTGTTCACCTTGTTGAGGAACCTGTTGTGCCACAACTCGAGGTCTTTCTACTGCAAACACATGTTGGTAAGTTCATAATCTGGCTCATTAGTCTTACCAAAGTCTCTCTGGTTAATTTTTGGCTGATTGACCTGCAAAGTGTCCAGTTGTGTCTCAGGATTTTGTACAAATGCTTGTTGAACACAATCTTGAAATCGCAATAAAATGGAAGTAGCAACAGATCTTTTCTGTAAGCGTTTCTGTAAACTGTATTGTCGCATAACTCTATATAAAGTTGGATATTGGATAACTTTACCTGCATATATAGAGTGCATTCATGTAAAGTGATGTATAGCACGTCTCAACTGCTTGATTGCTTGTATCATCACAAAATGTAAATTATATTATCGCCCAGCTCTAATCTGCTAAATGCAACTATAAGGCATGAAGATATTAAGATATTATAAACAATAACATCATGATTTTCATCATATTTTAAAATAATCCGTATTGTTAAAACTAATATTGAATTATTTTTTAAAAGAATGGAACATGCATGGATTAATTGTTAGCAGCAATAATATCTTTAACATGCATTTAGAAAATAAATGGGTTGAATTTTCATTTAATGTTGACTTTAACTTCTCAGAAACTTGATTGTGTTTTATAAATTAATGGAAGATCTCCATGCTCTAAAATATGATATTTCTTTTGTTTAGTGAATGAGGAAAAGCTCAAAAGGCAGCTCAGAGAAGATCTCCAGAAGCTCCTGAATGAGGAAATGAAGATGGCAGAGCATAACATGCGACAACAGTAAACACTTAACTGACGATGAAGATCTCTCAACAAAATACCCAAGAATGTAGTGAGTTTTGGCATCTAAACAGCATTTACTGTGTTTTCATAAGGCTGGAGGAAGAGAAAGCTAAAGCGAAGGCCCAGGCTCAAGCTGCAGCCCGACTCCAGATTCAGGATGAGGCCCAGAAGCTTCTGGAAGAGGAGAAGGCATCCTATCAACAGACTCTAGCAGATGCCATCAGGATGGAGCAGTTAAACGTTCAGGATGAGTGTCTCATAACTCAGTATTATGTAAGTCAGCTTCTGCGCACAGTTGTGTGTTGTTTGTGTATGTGCATCTGAGTATACACGTTTCTTACCGTTTGAGCAGCTTCTTTTGTTTCTGTGCAATTTTTTTGCAAAGCCCTCATAACAAAAATATGCTGGTGCAATACTGTCAAAATGCTAAGGATTAATAGAAAAACACATTTAAAAACAAACAAATATTAGTAGTAATGTCAAAAACACACAATAAAATTGCTAAAACTTTACCTAAATTAAAACAAAATTTTATTGGAAAATGTAAAATAGAAATTGTAATATAACACTAGTAACAATGTAAAAAAAAAACATAATAAAATTGCTAAAACTTTACCTAAATTAAATAAAATTTTTATTGGAAAATGTAAAATAGAAATTGTAATAAAACACTAGTAATAATGTCAAAAACACACAATAAAATTGCTAAAACTTTACCCAAATTAAAAAAAAATTTGATTGGAAAATGTAAAATAGAAATTGTAATATAATACTAGTAATAATGTAAAAAAAAACATAATAAAATTGCTAAAACTTTACCCAAATTAAAAAAAAATTTGATTGGAAAATGTAAAATAGAAATTGTAATATAACACTAGTAATAATGTCAAAAAACATAATAAAATTGCTAAAACTTTACCTAAATTTAAAAAAAATGATTGGAAAATGTAAAATAGAAATTGTAATATAACACTAGTAATAATATAAAAAAAACAATAAAAATGCTAAAAGTTAACCTAAATTAAAAAAAAAATTTATTGGAAAATGTAAAATAGAAATTGTAATATAACACTAGTAATAATGTCAAAAACACACAATAAAATTGCTAAAACTTTACCCAAATTAAAAAAACATTTGATTGGAAAATGTAAAATAGAAATTGTAATATAACACTAGTAACAATGTAAAAAAACAATAAAAATACTAAAACATAACCTAAATGTAAAAAAAAAATTATTGGAAAATGTAAAATAGAAATTGTAATATAACACTAGTAACAATGTAAAAAAAAACAATAAAAATGCTAAAACATAACCTAAATGTAAAAAAAAATTATTGGAAAATGTAAAATAGAAATTGTAATATAACACTAGTAACAATGTAAAAAAAAACAATAAAAATGCTAAAACGTAACCTAAATTAAAAAATATATATATTGGAAAATGTAAAATAGAAATTGTAATATAACACTAGTAATAATGTCAAAAACACACAATAAAATTGCTAAAACTTTACCCTTGGAAAATGTAAAATAGAAATTGTAATATAACACTAGTAACAATGTAAAAAAACATAATACAATTGCTAAAACTTTACCTAAATTAAAAAAAAAATATTGGAAAATGTAAAATAGAAATTGTAATATAACACTAGTAACAATGTAAAAAAAACAATAAAAATGCTAAAACTTAACCTAAATTAAAAAAAATATATATTGGAAAATGTAAAATAGAAATTGTAATATAACACTAGTAATAATGTCAAAAACACACAATAAAATTGCTAAAACTTTACCCAAATTAAAAAAAAATTTGATTGTAAAATAGAAATTGTAATATAACACTAGTAACAATGTAAAAAAAACAATAAAAATGCTAAAACTTAACCTAAATTAAAAAAAATATATATTGGAAAATGTAAAATAGAAATTGTAATATAACACTAGTAACAATGTAAAAAAACACACAATAAAATTGCTAAAACTTTACCCAAATACAAAAAAAATTTGATTGGAAAATGTAAAGTATAAATTGTAATATAACACTAGTAACAATGTAAAAAAAACATAATAAAATTGCTAAAACTTTACCTAAATAAATAAAAAATTATTGGAAAATGTAAAATAGAAATTGTAATATAACACTAGTAACAATGTAAAAAAAACATAATAAAATTGCTAAAACTTTACCTAAATAAATAAAAAATTATTGGAAAATGTAAAATAGAAATTGTAATATAACACTAGTAACAATGTAAAAAAAACATAATAAAATTGCTAAAACTTTACCTAAATAAATAAAAAATTATTGGAAAATGTAAAATAGAAATTGTAATATAACACTAGTAACAATGTAAAAAAAACATAATAAAATTGCTAAAACTTTACCTAAATAAATAAAAAATTATTGGAAAATGTAAAATAGTAATTGTAATATAACACTAGTAACAATCTAAAAAAACACACAATAAAATTGCTGAAACTTTACCCAAATTAAAAAAAAAATTGATTGTAAAATAGAAATTGTAATATAACACTAGAAACAATGTAAAATAGAAAAACACATTTAAAAACAAACAAATATTAGTAGTAATGTCAAAAACACACAATAAAATTGCTAAAACTTTATCTAAATAAAAAAAAATGGATTGGAAAATGTAAAATAGAACTTGTAATATAACACTAGTAATAATGTCAAAAACACACAATAAAATTGCTAAAACTTTACCCAAATAAAAAAAAAATTGATTGGGAAATTTAAAATGGAAATTGTAATATAACACTAGTAACAATGTAAAATAAACATAATAAAACTGCTAAAACTTTACCTAAATAAATAAAAAAAATTTGGAAAATGTAAAATAGAAATTGTAATATAACACTAGTAACAATGTAAAAAAACACAATAAATGCTAAAACTTAACCTAAATTAAAAAAAAAAAAGATTGGAAAATGTAAAATAGAAATTGTAATATAACACTAGTAAGTAACAAAGTAAAAAAACACAATAAAATTGCTAAAACTTCACCTAAATTAAAAAAAAAATATTGGAAAATGTAAAATAGAAATTGTAATATAACACTAGTAACAATGTAAAAAAAACATAATAAAATTGCTAAAACTTTACCTAAATAAAAAAAAATTGACTGGAAAATGTAAAATAGAAATTGTAATATAACACTAGTAACAATGTAAAAAAAAACATAATAAAATTGCTAAAACTTTACCTAAATTAAAAAAAAAATATTGGAAAATGTAAAATAGAGATTGTAATATAACACTAGAAACAATGTCAAAAACACACAATAAAATTGCTAAAACTTTACCTAAATTAAAAAAAATATATTGGAAAATGTAAAATAGAAATTGTAATATAACACTAGTAACAATGTAAAAAAACACAATAAAATTGCTAAAACTTTACCCAAATAAAAAAAAAATTGATTGCAAAATAGAAATTGTAATATAACACTAGTAACAATGTAAAAAAAACATAATAAAATTGCTAAAACTTTCCCCAAATAAAAAAAAAATTTGATTGGAAAATGTAAAATAGAAATTGTAATATAACACTAGTAACAATGTCAAAAACACACAATAAAATTGCTAAAACTTTCCCCAAATAAAAAAAAAATTTGATTGGAAAATGTAAAATAGAAATTGTAATATAACACTAGTAACAATGTCAAAAACACACAATAAAATTGCTAAAACTTTCCCCAAATAAAAAAAAAATTTGATTGGAAAATGTAAAATAGAAATTGTAATATAACACTAGTAACAATGTCAAAAACACACAATAAAATTGCTAAAACTTTCCCCAAATAAAAAAAAAATTTGATTGGAAAATGTAAAATAGAAATTGTAATATAACACTAGTAACAATGTCAAAAACACACAATAAAATTGCTAAAACTTTCCCCAAATAAAAAAAAAATTTGATTGGAAAATGTAAAATAGAAATTGTAATATAACACTAGTAACAATGTCAAAAACACACAATAAAATTGCTAAAACTTTCCCCAAATAAAAAAAAAATTTGATTGGAAAATGTAAAATAGAAATTGTAATATAACACTAGTAACAATGTCAAAAACACACAATAAAATTGCTAAAACTTTCCCCAAATAAAAAAAAAATTTGATTGGAAAATGTAAAATAGAAATTGTAATATAACACTAGTAACAATGTCAAAAACACACAATAAAATTGCTAAAACTTTCCCCAAATAAAAAAAAAATTTGATTGGAAAATGTAAAATAGAAATTGTAATATAACACTAGTAACAATGTCAAAAACACACAATAAAATTGCTAAAACTTTCCCCAAATAAAAAAAAAATTTGATTGGAAAATGTAAAATAGAAATTGTAATATAACACTAGTAACAATGTCAAAAACACACAATAAAATTGCTAAAACTTTCCCCAAATAAAAAAAAAATTTGATTGGAAAATGTAAAATAGAAATTGTAATATAACACTAGTAACAATGTCAAAAACACACAATAAAATTGCTAAAACTTTCCCCAAATAAAAAAAAAATTTGATTGGAAAATGTAAAATAGAAATTGTAATATAACACTAGTAACAATGTCAAAAACACACAATAAAATTGCTAAAACTTTCCCCAAATAAAAAAAAAATTTGATTGGAAAATGTAAAATAGAAATTGTAATATAACACTAGTAACAATGTCAAAAACACACAATAAAATTGCTAAAACTTTCCCCAAATAAAAAAAAAATTTGATTGGAAAATGTAAAATAGAAATTGTAATATAACACTAGTAACAATGTCAAAAACACACAATAAAATTGCTAAAACTTTCCCCAAATAAAAAAAAAATTTGATTGGAAAATGTAAAATAGAAATTGTAATATAACACTAGTAACAATGTCAAAAACACACAATAAAATTGCTAAAACTTTCCCCAAATAAAAAAAAAATTTGATTGGAAAATGTAAAATAGAAATTGTAATATAACACTAGTAACAATGTCAAAAACACACAATAAAATTGCTAAAACTTTCCCCAAATAAAAAAAAAATTTGATTGGAAAATGTAAAATAGAAATTGTAATATAACACTAGTAACAATGTCAAAAACACACAATAAAATTGCTAAAACTTTCCCCAAATAAAAAAAAAATTTGATTGGAAAATGTAAAATAGAAATTGTAATATAACACTAGTAACAATGTCAAAAACACACAATAAAATTGCTAAAACTTTCCCCAAATAAAAAAAAAATTTGATTGGAAAATGTAAAATAGAAATTGTAATATAACACTAGTAACAATGTCAAAAACACACAATAAAATTGCTAAAACTTTCCCCAAATAAAAAAAAAATTTGATTGGAAAATGTAAAATAGAAATTGTAATATAACACTAGTAACAATGTCAAAAACACACAATAAAATTGCTAAAACTATACCCAAATTAAAAAAAATTTGATTGGAAAATGTAAAATAGAAATTGTAATATAACACTAGTAACAATGTAAAAAAACACACAATAAAATTGCTAAAACTTTACCCAAAAAAAAAAAAAAATTGATTGTAAAATAGAAATTGTAATATAACACTAGTAACAATGTAAAAAAACACACAATAAAATTGCTAAAACTTTACCCAAAAAAAAAAAAAAATTGATTGTAAAATAGAAATTGTAATATAACACTAGTAACAATGTAAAAAAACACACAATAAAATTGCTAAAACTTTACCCAAAAAAAAAAAAAAATTGATTGTAAAATAGAAATTGTAATATAACACTAGTAACAATGTAAAAAAACACACAATAAAATTGCTAAAACTTTACCCAAAAAAAAAAAAAAATTGATTGTAAAATAGAAATTGTAATATAACACTAGTAACAATGTAAAAAAACACACAATAAAATTGCTAAAACTTTACCCAAAAAAAAAAAAAAATTGATTGTAAAATAGAAATTGTAATATAACACTAGTAACAATGTAAAAAAACATAACACAATTGCTAAAACTTTACCTAAATAAAAAAAAAATGATTGGAAAATGTAAAATAGAAATTGTAACACTAGTAACAATGTAAAAAAACAATAAAAATGCTAAAACTTAACCTAAATTAAAAAAAAAATGATTGGAAAGTGTAAAATAGAAATTGTAATATAACACTAGTAACAATGTAAAAAAAAACAATAAAAATGCTAAAACTTAACCTAAATTTAAAAAATAATTATTGGAAAATGTAAAATAGAAATTGTAATATAACACTAGTAATAATGTCAAAAACACACAATAAAATTGCTAAAACTTTACCCAAATTAAAAAACTATTTGATTGGAAAATGTAAAATAGAAATGGTAATATAACACTAGTAACAATGTAAAAAAATATATAATAAAATTGCTACAAATTTACTTAAAAAAAAAAAGAAGATTCTAATTATCAATAAAAACTTCAACAGTATCTAAATGATACTAAGATAACACTATTATCATGTGCAAAACAACATGTTATGTAACATTTTATCTGCATCCACCTCTAAATGTATGTGCATGTGTTGGATTTGCATATTGTGAATATCCAGATGTTAAAAATGCATGAATATAAATGGTATTGCTTTACTGCTTAACTGCACTGTCGCTTATTTCCTTTCCCTTTCTCTTTTCTTCCTTTATCTTGATCTGCTCATGTGTTTCAGTGGATGGAGAGGAAGGTAACATGTTGAGGCTTCGTTTTGCCAATCACTTGCTCGTTCACTTTTTTTAAGAGAAATCTGTGATCATTTCTATTCCAGCTAAATGTGAGTGAGTGATTGCTTAAATACAAGGTTAAATTAGTTCTGTTTAATATGCATTAATCTATCACACACATACAGCCTTTTCAGTAAATTTAACATCATTTGTGAGCAAAACCCTTTTGTATATTTATATCAAGAAATGCATGTGCCATTAAACTCTCTTTACTATAGTGTTCTATGGAAGATTTACAGGCTGATGCTTCACGTTTTATCTTCCCATCAGGCTCAGAAGCTGGAGGAGAAGGAGAAAGATCTGGAAAATCAGGACGCTCTGTTTCGGGAGCAGATTGCCAAGATGCAGGAAAAGGCAAAATGATTCATCTGACCTTTCATATGCTCTTTGTACCTTTTCCAGAGTGATATCACCACTTCATATGCAGTACAGGGTTATTATAGTTAACTAAAACTAAAGCCATTAAAAAAAAATTCATTACTTGAAATAAAATCAACTTTATCTGAAATTAACTTATTTGATCTTAAACGTATTTTATTTCAGCTAGTTGCCAAGGTAACATTTCTCATTGTCATTTCGTTTAACTTGATTTACTAAAATAAAAAATAAGATGAAAATGAAATAAATATGAATAAAAGCTATATAGACATATTTAAAAATAATAAAAATGACAAAACAAGCAAATTTACTAAAACTTTTAACTGAAAGTAAAATTAAAACAGAAAATATGCAAAATAAAAAAGAATTCAAAATATTAGTAAAACTATAGTATCTTTTAGGGATGCACGATATTGGATTTTTGTCGATATCCGATATGCCGATATTTTTCAACTCATTTTGACTGATACCGATATATTTCCTTTTGTTTGGAAACAACACCAAGTCTCTCCTGTGCAGAAATTATAAGCAAAATATTTTTAATTTTGGTTAGTTTTTAACAAGAACTTATTTGTTAGAATTAAATAAACAATAATGAAGGTTTTTGACAGTACATTGAAGCTTTGAAAATGACTATAAATAAACTATATATCAATCGCTTTGCATTTTTTCCCCCAGAAAGATGCAGTGTTAACCCTAACATTTTATTTTAAGATTTAACATTTGTAGATGGTCTAAAGCAAAAGAGTTGTAAAAAATCATGAAAATATTTTAGCTTATGATTTGTTTAAAAAAATAAAACATGATACACATTAATGAATAAATCAGTATATATAAAATTATTTAATTTACAAGTGTCATGTTTGTGATTTTTTTCATGTAAGCTATAGCTTCTGACCTTTAAATCAAAACATACTCATTATTTTATGACATCAATTACTGCTTTATTTAATCAAAAACACAGTCTAAATGTTATTTGTATAGGCTATTTTACTTTTAATTGAATTAGAAGTAGGCCAACAGTACTGTTTACTCTGTCACACGCCGAATGCGTCAATCTGTAGGTGCTTTCACAGATTAAATGCAACGATCAAAAGAGTGAATCTAATCATCATTCAGACAAAACTTTGCTTCAAGAATGAGCCACACTGCTGATGTGATCTAATCACTAGCACACCCTGAGCACATGTGAGTTAATGTATCCCTCTTATCGGCAAGACATATCGCCCGATATTTACATTTAAAGCCATTATTAGCCGATTCTGATATCAGTCCGATAATATCGTGCATCCCTAGTATCTTTTTGGTAAAAAATAAAGTAAAATAACTCTAATGCAGTATATTACACGTGTTGACTGTCTCTTTGTTGTTGTGCAGATGGCTCAGTTCACAAAAGTTACTGCTGAAAATTACAAGAAAGGCTTAGAGGACGCACACAACCGCTTCGGGTGAGTGTGCAAGATCAATAAATCAGTGTTTAGTTTTTCAAATGACATTTATCTCATTTCTCACTCTCTCTAGGCGATGCCAAATCAAACCAGTGTGTTCAGATCTGCAGAGTCAGATACTGAAGTGTTACGCTGAGAATAAAGGTCAAACTATGAGCTGTTCCAACATCGCATCACTGTACATTCAGTGTGTGGGCCGTGCCAGACAGGTAAACCACACTGATAAGGCCACTTGGGTAGACATCCAAAATAGCTATTTAAATACTGACTGAGAAAATGTTTATGCAGTGCAGCTTAGAGGAGGACATCTTCAACTAAGACTTTAAAAGTGTTTTGAAAAAAGTAGTATTATTTTATATAATTACTATGAATTATTCACAAAAATGTAATTTAATTTTTTTCCAGGATAAAAAGCTGAGCACTGGAGGTTAGCTTACTGGACTGAACATCAGATCTGCAGTGTCATGGTGAAAGAAAAAAGGCCATCACTGCAAACACACACACATCTAAACCGATCCGATTAGTTTAATTGTTTATTACACATTTCAGCAGTTTTGAATATGCATTCTCTTGAATATGAGCCATTATTGGACCACTATGCAGAAATACCTCAACTAGTTTCAGACTTTTGTAACTGTGAACTCCTAAGCTAAATGGTTTCAGGTGCTATTGAGTGCTTTGTTTGTGTGTGGAGACATGGTGATTTATTCTGTGCTCCTTCTTGTTTTAAAACAGTGCATGGCCAAAAAGTACAAAGCGATGCACAATCTGGAAGCTGCTGTCTGATGACATGTTTTTGCATAGTAAAAAGTTTGTGCCTTTTCCTTTGATACCTAATTTTATGGGTATTTTGGATAAATGTGATTGAAATCCAAGCTCTGCTGCTAAAAACCGATCAAATGTGTAAAATTGGTATTAAAGGAATAGTTCACCCCAAAATAAAAATTTGCTGAAAATGCACGCACCTTCAGGTCATCCAAGATGTAGATGAGTTTGTTTCTTCATCAGATTTGGAGAAATGTAGCATTGCATCACTTGCTCACCAATGGATCCTCTGCAGTGAATGGGTGCCGTCAGAATGAGAGTCCAAACAGCTGATAAAAACACCACAAGTAATCCACACCAAAGACTTGCAAAGTAAAAAGCTGCATGTTTGTAAGAAACAAATCCATCATTAAGGAGTTTTGAAAAAGTCAGGAGAGAAATATGCAAAGATCGAACACAGTTCACAAGTTAAAACAGTCCAAAACTGTTCTAAACAAATATACCGGTGGATTTTGATGTGAGACAACAATAGGGAATGGACTTTTTCAGTGGTGGAAGTGTTATTATGGATTATGGACTCGTATTTTGTCCAGAAGGTTTACAGTTGAAACACCTTAACGATGGATTTTTTTTTCTTTTCACTTTAAAAAATGGACTGGAGTGGTGCGGAGTACTTGTGGATTACTGTGATGTTTTTATCAACTTTTTGGACTTTCATTCTGACGGCACCCATTCACTGCAGAGGATCCATTGCGGAGCAAGTGAACATTTCTCCAAATCTGTTCAGATGAAAAAGGCCCTGAATGGGTGAAATGATGAAAACCTAGGTTCTAGGTATCTAGGTTCTTTGTTGTGCAACTTTAAATAACATGTTTCCACTAGATGGCGCTGTAGCCCACAGTCTGTGACCAGATAATGAACGTGATTCTAATATTCTTGGTGTATTGTGGAACCACGCTGGTCTAGAAGGGTAAAAGGACGACCAACCCTCTCAGTAATGCCATTTCCCAAACCTCTGATCAGCAAATATCAATAGTTTTGGTATGAAACAAACAGGAGCAGTTGTAAAATGAGCATTGACCTTATATTATCCAGCTGGTTAATTTGCATTTATATATTGTTTTCTGGTTTATTATTTTATTTATCCTCTATATAGTACCAAGGGGGCTGTAGTTCTGTCAGTGCAGTATTTTATTGTATGAGAGGGTGACATGAATAAGAAATCATGTTCACCTGACTCTTGCATCCTCTTTTGTGTCCTACCAGCATGAACACGTAGCCTAGATACAGCACAGCAGTTCATGCAAATTTCACATCGCTCGCACTCTCTGCCTTTTGCACACTTTATGAAAGCATGTTTGATGCAATATTCTTGGATCAAATGGACCTAATTATTGAAATCAACATCAACTGGCTCCTGGCTTAATGTTTTATTAAAATGTTACTTAATGGTTCAGCCTGTCTTCAATTACTCAACCTCATTATGTTTCAAAACCTTGAGAACACAAATGTATAGAATTTTATGTGTATGTCACTCTTTTGCATGCGATTTATTATATTTTATATAACAGCTTCTGAGCCCAATTAATTATATTATTTATATTTGAAGTTTTCTGAAGTCATTCAATAGCTTTATTTGAAAAACAGATTGAAATTGAAGTTTTTTGTTAAAAAGCTTTCCTTTAAGTGAGCTGATCATTGAATCAGGGAGTTAAACTCAAGAAAAAGATCAGTCTGATTCACAAATGAATCATTTTATTGATTACAACTTAGTCGACCACTGTATGAATAACCATAAAAAACAAATTGTTGGTGTGGCACCAAACTGAAATAAAATAAATTTAAGTTGAATTACTAAAATGAATAATACTAAAAATTAAATTTAAAAAAAGCTGAAGCTAAATAAAAAATAACAGAACATAAAAAAATTACTTAAACTTAAAAACTGAAAATATACAAATAAAAGCCAATTCAAAGTATTCATAAATACTGTAGTAAATAAATATCATAAAAATAAGCTTTTGTCCTCTTTTATTTTCATTATATAAAAAAACAACCAGGATATTTGTCAAAAAAATCTAATTTTGTGTTCCACAGAAGAAAAAAAAAGTTTTATGAATAATCGTAAAAAACTAACTGACATAAAATACGTTTAAGCTGAATTACTGAAATGAATAATGCAAAAAACGAAATAACTGAAAATAAATTAAACCAAATAGAAATTAAACAAATACTGATAATCACAAGAACACATAATAAAATTACAAAAACTTAAACGAAAATAAAAACTGAAAATATGAAAATGAATGCTAATTCATAAAAACTATAAAAGTATATTAATAGCTTATAAATAATTCTTTTCTAACTCTCACACAAAACATGGCACAACATATGGCATAAGTCGGGTTTGAAACGACATGAGGGTGAGTAAATGATTTCAGGGTGGACTATCCCTTTAAATACATATTAAAATGCTAGATGTTTAATAATAGAAGAGATCTATATTAAAATCATGGCATTTGACAGTTTTAGTATTAATTTCATTCTTGCTTCTGGGCAATGAGCATTTAAGCAATCATAACATACAAATTATTTATACGACTGTGAATTTTTAAAATGAAGTTTATTCGCTAACAAATGTGAGCCATATTTTCAGCTTTTTTCCAGTTTGTCCTCAAGATGTTTTTAAGGACTGCTTGGATGCAGTGTGACCAGAAAAATTTGTTTAAATCCGAACTTGTTCCTTCGTTATTAACCATTTTATATGCATCAAGTGCTTGTAAACTGGGCTTGTTACCCAGAGAGCAACAGACGGTTCAGGCACTTACACTCTTAAAAATAAAGGTGCTTCACGATGCCATAGAAGAACCTTTTTTGTCTAAATGGTTCCATAAAGAACCTTTAACATCTGAAGAACTGTTTCGGTTTCACAAAAGGTTCTTTGTGGCGAAAGAAGGTTCTTCAGATTATAAAAAGGTAAGAAAGAGATCGCTCTTTAAAAAAAAACTTTAACTGAATGGTTCTTTATGGAACCAAAAATGGTTCTTCTATGGCATCGCTGTGAAGAACCTTTTAAGCACTTATTTTTAAGAGTGTACCGATGGCTGTTTGCAAACCTGGAACCACGACATCGTCCTCTGCCCCTGTATCTTTAAATCTAGCTTGACATAAGCTTTATATCTGAAGAAAAATTTAACACAGGTGACATTTACAAAACCCTTGTGGTACATTGACTGTTTATAGAGGGCTTGATGATTCTCAATTACAGTTTTATAGGACGATCTGAGAGGTGCAAATCTTATGAGAGTGAAGTGTGACGAAAGGTCACCGCCGTATATTGAGCGACTCGTTTGGTTGTTTGAAGTGCCGTCACTTGGAATGAGGCGGGTCACCGTGTGACCTGAATTTTACAACACCATGAAACCGGCTTTAGATGTCTGCAGAGGGCATTTCAAATCAAACATATGATTTTATCCTAGCAAATAACAGGACTCGGTAGGTGTGACCCATTGACGCCGAAGGATGCTGGCTTGATATTGCTTTTGTAGAGGTCAAGACAGAGTTTGGATGTGTTTGGATGCAAAGGAAATGCTCAAAGCTGTCATTTTAATGTACAGTATAAGAGCTTTCAATAGATTCTAAATGGCGTAATAAATGGCGAATCAACACCATCTCTCTGGCTGCATTGTTTACCCACAAATTTGGCCCATTTAAGCCAAGTGCACTTTACCTGTCATCCAGGCTGATGTATGAGCATCTCAAAACCCTTGTTATCCTTCCCCTGTGGTTCATAAACCTCTTTTCTCTCCTGCAGCACTGTATTGGGATTGCTTGAATGTTAAATTGTAAGTAATATTTATTGCAAAACATAGCTATATTCTGAATCTTTAATTACATGATGTTGTAGGAATAACCAGTCAGTAATTGCTCTGCTTTTAAGACTCGCATGGCTTACATACATTGTACATTGTTCACGTTGAGTTAGACTTAATGAAAGTCAAATAAGTCAAAAATAGCTCCAAACTATTCAGTGAGTAATTCAATAGAATGATTCAAATGGAGTCTTTTTGACCAAATCATTTGTTCATGAAGCAGGTTTCGTTTTGTGACTTTTATTTATCTTTCTATAGCTTCACCCCAGTGTTGTTATTGTTAACTAAAACTAAAGTTATAAAAAAAAA